AGCGACAGGAATTATTGTAGAACATGTAAAAATGTCAAGACAATAAAACCATTGCAAGCCTGTGAAATCTATGGATTATTGGATACTGCATTAGGACTCCTTTGTCTCACTTGAAAGGGAGGTATAACATTATTCTTGCTTGAGTCATTCTCCTGTACAGAAATATTTGGAAATCCTACTCCTGCCCCAGCATCCAGTTTAAGTACAAGTTTATAGATGCTGGACAGCTTTTTAAGAAACAAAATACATTTTTTGTGTGAATAAAGATCTATTATATTTGTTCGTGTCTATATTTGTTTTAATTTCTTTTCGTATTCAATATATTATTAACAGTCCTGAAACTGCATTTTATTTGTACTTTAACTTATCTATTGCACATAAATGTACTTGAACTCCAGAGAAGTTTCTTTGAACTAAACATATGCATGTATTAAAACAGTAAAATCTATATTTACTTTCAAAATAATAGTTTATAATTAATTATAATAGAACAACTTGCTGAAGTTTTTGTATATAGTAATTTGAATTGTTAAAAGGGTGTCTTATTTGTGAAATGAAAATACCAGAAATCTTACTCTCCTGTAGTATACACAGCGTGGTCACAAGTAAATAGACACCACCTTTTAAGAAAAAATGACATTTTTCAGTCATATTCACATGAATTGATATATTTATAATTTAATTAATATCTAGTAGATCTTCCTTTCGCTTCGTGGAGTTCGTTGATCCTTTGGGGCATCGTGAGAATCATGTCGTCAATTTTAGATTGTGGGATTTTCGCCCACTCTTGCTTCAAAACTTGGAGTAGGTCGCTCTTCGAAGTTGTTGTTTTTTTTTTGTTGTTGTTGTTTCTTGACTTGCCGGTCGAGTATGGCCCAGAGGTTTTCGATGGGGTTCATGTCAGGAGATTGGCTCGGCCAGGGCAACTTCTGGATACTATTTTCTTCCTGCCACTTTTGGGTGTTTCTAGCAGTGACACACAGTGCTCCATCTTCCTGGAACAACGTCGTGTTCTTGTCCACTAAATACGAGGAATAAAGTGGCAAGAGTCCTTCCTCCA